CCTAGTCCCTTTGCACATAGTAGGTGCTTAATAAATGCTAGTGGATTAGGTTTTTGGTATCCTCAGCATCTAGCACAGTGCCTGGCACACAGTAGGTATTTAGTTAATACATGCTGATTATCTTTGCACCCCCAGACCCTAGCACACATTAAATGCTTGCTTATTGACCGATTGCTTCTCCAGGGTCTTGACCGGACCAAAGCAGAAACCAAACCCAGGAATCCTGGGCTCTTGAGTTAAGCAATTGTGTCGCACTCTCCCCCAGGAAAGGAAAGCCATGAACAGGGCCAGTCCTATTCCCCAAACCTGGGGCTCCATCAGAGAAGCGGCAATTCTCTTCCTGGTAGAACCCTCACAATAAAGATGGAACAGGTGGATTGGACTGCGGCTCTTAAGATGACCAGCAGAGGGCAGCACTGGCCTTACCCTCCTGATGACCATTTAGCAGCTGCTCCAGCAGCATTACTGACTGCTGGCTGCTCTTACCCTAATGCATGATAGGAAGGGGGAGGCCAGCAAACGGAGATGATTGAGCTCCAGGTCAGACCCTGGCAGCTTCTGGGGAAAGGAATTGGCACGTAGAGGAAAGAACTCTGGATTTGTAGTCATGACACTTGGGTTCAAATCCCCACTGTCACTCCTCTGTGTAACCTTATTCAAGTCACATGCCCTCTCTGGATCTCAGTATACTCCCTGTGTCAATCAAACGAGGTGCCTGGTCTTGGAGATGCCTCTCCAGCTCCAAATCTTCTGATCTTACGAAACCCCCCCCCCCCCCCCGCCAAAACTTCCCACCCGGAATTTTCAGGAAAGAATTAAATTTATATAATTTATAAATAAAATTTAAATAAATTTATATACTTACCCAACATGCCAATGCCCAGCATGAAAGCGTCCATCCCATAGGGCATGACTCGGGACCTCCCCCTGGCAGAGCCTGTGGGCGACATCACCTCCTTTGGCTGGGCTTTCTTACATTCTACCTGTAATGAGAAACTCGGGAGTCAGTCCTCTCTCCAGCACTTGGAACCCCCATTTCTCAGGGGGATCCACCTTCCACCGTTGACCTCGAGGACTACCTCTTACTTTGGCTAATGGAATTCTCTTCCCTATCACATAATGCCATCACTCCTACGGCTCCTCAAACCCTGTTCCTAAATAGGAAGGTCAAGACTTGGATCTGAGACCTATAAAGGCTTTCTACGTCTCCAAAGTTTTGGCCCCAAGTGTGGCCCAGGCCCTTGTTCCCGTTCTGACCCTCTGGTGCTTCCTGAGTGAGTGTCCTTTCAGAAGAAAGACTCCTGGTAGCTCCCACCCCTCCCACCCCCAAGTCAATTTACCATCTTGTTGTTGATCTCATGGAAGTGAATCTCACAGACTTTCTCCACAATGTCCTCACTCTCAAATGTGACAAACCCAAACCCTGGAAGGGAAAAGGAGAGACCCCCAGGCACAGGGGGTGAGAGGAAGGTCAGAGCCAACATCCAGAGAAAGTGAGTATAGACTCAGGATAGCCAGGATGTCAGCAGAGTAACAACCTGATGGGGGTGTTCTAAAGTCTCAGTAGAAAAAAAAAGAAAGAAAGAAAGAATGAATGAATGGAAAGGCATTTACTAAATACTATGTGCCAAGTACTGTGTTAAGGTTAGGAATAGAAATACAAAAAGCAAAGCAGTCCTTTCTAATACAGCACTATGCTGATTGATTGCTTCTCCAGCATCTGGACAGGACCAAATCCAGGAATCCTGGGCTTTGGGGGAAAATGTGGGGAAGATAATATAGAGAGGAAAGTGTTGGCCAAAGATGGAAGCGTGTTTTGGGTTGGAAAATGACAGAGCTGGAGAAATTTAAAAAAAAAAACTAAAACCCACACCTCTCATCTTGTGGATTTTACTCTCACGATCATCACAGAGTTAGAAAGGGCCCGAGAAGCCATCTAAACCCAACAAGGAAGGGAGGGCTCCCCTCAGGAATATCTCCAACAAGTAGGCATCCATCCTTGGATTAAAATGCCCTACCTTCTTCAAGAAGCTTTTTCCAAAATATAAAAGTGTCTTCCTTCTGAAATTATCTCTGGAATGTTGTCTCCCCCGTTAGAATTTAAGTTTCTTGAGGGTAGGGCTGGTTCTGCCTTTCTTTGTATCCCCAGTGCTTAGCACAATGCCTGGCACATATTAATAGATTAATAAATGTTTGTTGACTGACTGAAGACCTCCAGGGATAGGGAACTCACTACTTCTCAAAGCAATTGATTTCTATTTTTGGGTTGAGCACAGAAAGTACCCACCCTGCTCTGTTTACTCCTCAAAATTCTCCCCTCCCAGGGGTCTGGCTGGAAAACAGCCAGCTGGGACACTTTTCTCAAGCGACCTTCTCAAAGGGGCTCTGATGGTATTCCTGAGAAAGCAAGGTCCCTGGGTAAAGAGTGGCCCAGCCCCAGCTGCCAAAAGGGTTCAGAGGTGGTAAGAGTGAATCCAGACTGGTAAGTTGTTGGAGGGGAGGAAGGAGGGGCTTCCCCGGGCTGTGGAGTCAGTCTGTCCCTGGGTCTGCCTGTCCCCGGGCTCAGATTACCAGGGACAAGGTAAGGCCCACACAGGCTCCACAGGCTGGAGCCACGTTGGGGACCAAAGGCAGGGCCTGCTCCTCTCGGGTATCTGCAAGTGCTTGAAAGTTTCTAGCACAGGAAACCGGCCGGACAAAAGCCCTCTGTGCTGGCAGGCACGGGGAGAGGATGCAGATCCTGAGGGGTAGGATGTCAGGAGCAGAGATGAAAAGGCAGCTGTGACCTGGAGGCCCCTGCCGATGACCATGGGGCCCCCTGACCCCTGGCCCGGAGAGGGTGGGGGAAGGGGTCGGGCCTTACCTCGGTGTCGATTGGTGGTTTTGTCAAACATTAGCATGGCATCATCCACCTGGAAGACACAGGAGCCCTTGAATCCAGTCACCGCAGCCCCTTCCCCAGTCACCAGCCCCTTCCCCAGTCACCGCTACTCCTGTCCTTTTTAATCCCTGAGCATTTCAGATGGGTGTTTGCTACCTGGGCCTGGGAGACTGGCTACAAGGTGGGACACACACACACACACACACACACACACACACACACACACACACACA